TGGGGGTGAGGGTGGGCATGTGGGGGTTGGGAAAGCAGTGACTGAGGCAGGGAAGGAGGCAAGGAGAGCTGGTTCCCAGTTAGAGTGAGGAGCCCGAGAGGGGATGCCGAGTCCAATCATTCAAACTTTCTGCCCAATGTTATATTTTCTGCTGGTGTCTACCTTGCTCACTTCACTCACCCGCCTTAGCTTTTGCCCACAGGGAAAGTAGTTTAGGAAAGGGGGCAGCATGGGTAGAAATCGGCCCCTAGGTGCAAACCTACTTACCTGTCGTGAGTCCTAAAGGCAACTCCAGGCCAGTTTTGCTCTTAGGTCCAAAACTCCATCAAGACCTTGTTGCCCATGCCCCAATACTTAATGGGAAGAGAGCTTACAGGGAGCTCTCCTTATTCCACGAGAAATGCCAACAGGAAAGGTCTTATTCTGAGAGGCTGCAGATCTCAGGAAAGAACCCTCAAGGCCAAACTTTGTACTGGGTGGAATAACCCCGGAAACAAGGCTGGAGCTCACACCTTTCCTCACAGGCCCATGGATCCGGTCCGGGTTGCTGTTGTGGGGGCAGGTGTGATGGGACTCTCCACCGCTCTGTGCATTTCCAAACTGGTCCCACGATGCTCCATCACCGTCATTTCAGACAAGTTCACTCCTGAGACCACGAGCGACGTGGCAGCTGGAATCCTCATACCCCACGCTTATCCAGGTGAGACGGCTTTCGCTCCTCTCTTGGACATGGTAGGTGCCGGGTAGTATGATGGTAATGGAATCGTGTTGACAAACAGCTGGATGTGCATGTAATTGTAAGTGAACTTTTAACATCGCATTGGTTCATCTGTTAGCAAAAGCTCAGTTATGCTGTAAGATAAAAACAACCTCCAAATCTTAGCAGCTTAAGAAGCAAAGGTTTATTTCTTGCTCACAGTATGTTTGTTGAGCATCAGCAAGGGACCAGCAGGGACCTAAGCTGATGGAACAGCCGCTGTCTTGAGTGTCATCAATATCTGTGCCTAGGGTAGGGAGCTCTGGGGGTGTCTCACCTTTGCAATTAAAGGCTCTGGCCAGGAAGTGACATTTATCACCTGTGGTGACAGCTCACTGGCCAGCACTACTCACAGGCTCTCAGCCCCTCAGGAGGAGGCCAGGAAGTGCAATTCTGTAAGGCTCCCAGAAGATGGACAGCCAGAAGTATTTGGTGAACAGCAGTAATAACTACCACAACTGGTAACTCCTATGTCTTTCCAGTAATGACCATCAAGTCAGAAACTACCTGTGTGTAAAGAGGCTTAGATTTTCACTTCTAAGGCAGTATAAAAACAGTCAGTGTGTGTTCATACCAAAAGATGCATTGATTTTTAAAAATAGATCCATGCATCCTTTCCATTCTCTAGTTTCCACATGAAATGGGAGAAAAGAAATAGCATTAAATAGAAAACAAAATCACTTTGCAGCCAGTTTTATACTCACAGCTTCCACCTTCTCATTTCCACTCTCTTTTCCCTCCTTTATTTTTATTTCTTTATCAAAGTTATGCGTGCACATAATTTAAACAATCAAGTGGTTACAAGGTTTATTTAAAAAAATAGCAACCTGTACAATGAAAATTGCCCTGTCTGTTTAATCTGGAAACTCACATTCTTCCGTTCAAGAGGCAGTCTGTGAATTACTCAGTTGTTGACCTCTCTCTCTAGATGTCTCCATCTCTCTCTCTGGAGTTGCTACTGTGCTTGGCCTCCTGGGCTGGTCCTCCAATTCTCTGGATCAGGGTCTCTCTCTGGTGTTGCTAAATAAAAGACTCTGGTCTTCTCTCTGGGCTTCCTTCAGACCAGGCCTGGTGGTAAATATCTTCTGTGCTCATGAATGTCAACACCATATGGGGACCATCCGGTCTTATAGGGTTGTGTGAGAATTAAATGAGTTAATATATGTAAAGCACTTAGAATAGTGCCTGGGACACAGTAAGTGCTATACCCATATTTGCTGCTGTTATTACTGCCACTCCAGTTACAGGTTCCTTTTACCAGCACTAGAACACCAATTAGGTCACCAGGCTTGCCCTACGCCCTGTTGAATTGGAATAGTTTGTTCTTTTGGGATGACTTCTGCAGTGTGTGGATCTCAGCCATTATTTTGTTTTAAGGTTTGGGGCAGGAACCTTTCAGTACAGCCCCATACACTGGGGTATAATCTTTAGAGGTCTATTGTAGTTTTCTTTGCAGCTTATTATTTATTTATTTCTTCTTGATTTCTACATCAGTGGCCCAGTCTGCAGTTATGGAAGACAGGGTTGAGCTCACCTGGGCTCGCGTTCAGAGGCAGCACAGATCCACTCTTAAAGAAATATTTATGGGCTCTGTACATGTTTTAAAACCCTGTTACTGAAATCCCCCACTGACCTGGAGATTTGTCTGTGGAGCAGGATGACTCCAGGGCCTTGTTTACCTCTGCTGTGAACTCCAGGGACATCCCTCCAAGCAGAGCTGACCCAGCATCCTCTCTGCCTCAGTTCCCTCATCTCCTCTGCGCTGCTCCCACAGCAGCCCCTCAGAATTACTGCTCCCTGGTCTCTGGCCTGACGCTGGACCCTCCCTCATGACCCTTCCACAGGGACCAGAGGGCCACATACTTTACCCACAGTTGGATTTGTCTGTATCTGCATTGGACACTCTTATTTTGGGGCTGAACCCTTACCCTTATTTTCTCTCAGACAGGCCTGCCCCCTTCTAGAAGCTGTGTCCAGGTCCCATCTCTTGTGCTCTGCTGGGGCTGTCTGGGGGATAGGGGACTCTGACAGAGAGGTGGTGCCTGGTGTGGTCCCTGCACACCCCTGCTGACCTGGGAATGCTGCTCTAAGCTGGCATGGAGTGGAGGAGGGTGGAGGTAACGGCAGCCCTGGCTAGGGCTGCAGGGAGCCCTTCTTCAGGAGCTAACCTTCATAATTCAGGTCTTATTTCCTTGTAGCAGGAGGGTGAGCTCCCTGGGCTCCCCATTGACGCGTATTCCATTCTCTGTCCTGGTTGACCTGGGCCCCACAGATCTCCCCTTGTCACCCACCATGTTCTCAGTCCCCAGGAAAATGGCCCGGGGTTCTTTCTCCTATTGTTTTAACTGTAGGGTCAGCCGATGCTTCAGCCATGAACTTCTGCTTGGGTTGGTTATTGACCCTTCAAGGACCTCTGGAATAAACCGGGTGCCCAAGATCACCTGCCAACTGGCTCACATATCAGATTTTCCCCTGATTGGTCGGTTTCCCTTTTGTCAATTAATCATTGTACAAACAGATGCTGACAGCATGTGCGAACATCGAAAACTGTGGTTGCTTGTATAACCTCCACTTTATCTAAACGTCCCTCCTCTAGTCTTCATGCCCACCCCCCAGCCCTGGGAAGGAGCTTATCTGAATAGTCATTACCGTGATTTTCCTTCCTGTTTCACTTTGCTTTTCTCCATGATTATAGACACACCTGCTCACAAGCAGAAGCAGTGGTTTAGAGAGACCTTTGATCACCTATTTGCAATCGCCAATTCTGCAGAAGCTGGAGAGGCTGCCGTTCACCTGGTGTCTGGGTAAGAGAGGAAAAGAAGCTATTTTAGAATTTAGAATGATCTTAACTCTAAAGAGTTCAACTTAAATTATTATTGAGTGTCTGCTGTGAGCAGAGTGCTGACCTAGATGTGGGAGGATTTAAAAGAACATCTTAGGCTTTCCTCCAAAGAACTCAAGAAAGACAAATTACAGTATTTGACTTTTTAACGATAAACAACCATTGCAGTTTCTCATCACAAATATTATTTTAAGTGTCTTTGGGGGTTATGCAGTGATTTGCAAATATGGCTACAAAAATATGCCAGGTAAGCAGTGAGCTTGGGTTATGTGAGGATAATGTGGCTGATGGAAAGCAAACAGGTGTGACACTGGAATGGATGCAGAGACCCAAAAGGTAGGAACATCTTATATATTTAGTGTCGTTGGAAAATGCTGTGTTCCAAAAATGTAACTTAGAAAAAAATATTTCTGAAATGGTTAGCACACTCCTGTTTGATTCTATCTGATTTCAGGAGACATACACAATTAAACAAAACAATTTAAAATAAGTCCTATGTAACATTTCTAACACAAACTAGCACTTAAAATATGGCGATATCTTTCTACATGGTCTTAAACAGAGATCACTAACCATTCTATAACTTTTAGCTTGTGACATAACCTATATGTTGCCTGTGTTATTCTGTGTTATAACATAGTCACGCCCTACAGCCTTCGGAAGAGCAGAGGGATGTTTGCTTTTTGCTAAATACTTAAATACAGTGCACCTTTTGTGCTATTTCTAAAACAAAAACAAAACAAAAAAACCTGCTCTCTCCTCTTTTGAGATCAGGCTGTCTCTGACATTCCCTGTGGGTGAACACACCTGCATCAGGCAGACTCCTACCCTTTTCCTTCTCTTGCCCTCCCTCACCATCACAAACACCAAATGATGTTGACATTACTAATTTCCCATAGTCTTTGTCCAGCATAGCAATTTTCACTTTTCCACCTCCCGAAGACGAGTTGACACTGTAACTTTCTCAATGCCAGCTGATGAGCCACATAGAAAAATGGCTCTCATTAATATATGGTCACCCTTTATTTTTGTCCAAAACCAATATGGTCCGGTCTAATTCAAATACTTTGGCTCTAAGTAATTTTTAAACACAGTGATGTCCAAAATTCAAATATCCTTTCAAGAGCAAGACATTACCACCATTGTGGATATTACAAAGAATGTACTTAAGCTATTCTAAAAGAGAGTTATTTATTTCCCCTCACATGAATCATTTTTATCCACTTGCTTCCAAAAAAGATTTGCATCAGTCAAGCCAAGACAAGGACATAATGTTCTCTGCATCTTTGGCTTAAGCAAATCTGCTCATTATTGACCTGTTCATCCCTTCAAAACAGCTTTTCAGCATTCATCAGCGTCAGGTACTGTCCTAGGTGTTAGGGATATATAAATGAGCAACTTTGTACATACTGCTTGGCATATAGTAGATGCTCAACAAACATGTGTGAAGTGAATTTTTAAGAAGGGCAGACACGGTCCTACCCTCATGTAGCTTATGGTCTGTAGATAATGCCCTAAATCTAATGAGTTACAAATGAGACACAAGTTACCAAGGGAAGCGTGCAGGGTGTTATGAAAGCAGTTGTCTGGAGAATAACTTGCTCTGGGATTTTATGAGAAGCCACCAGGAAAAAAGTAATGTTTCAGTGCAGACCATCAAGATGAGGCTAGGTTAGTCCAGTGATGTGTAGAGGTGAAGGGGGCAGAGACAGGGTGGAGGTCAGAGGAGGCAGCGTTCTGGGTTGAGGGAAGAGCACACGCATAGACCTTAGTCTGGGGTGACTGGCGTGTTGGAGGGATTGAAAAATTCCAGTGTAATGGGAAGCCATTGAGGGATTTTACACAGTGAAGTAACTGGTCATATTTACATTTCAAAAATATTCTGACTGTAGTGTAGAGAACAGATTTGTGGAAAGGGAGATGATGGTGGAGTAGATTAGCTATTGATAGTGGGGATAGAGAGTAAAAAAATTTAAGAAATGCTTAAGAGGAAATTTATTATTATTATTAATTTTTCTTTATTGTTGAAAGTATTACAGTTGTTCCTCCTTTCCCTCCCACATTGACCTTCTCTACCCTGCCCCTCCCTTCCCAGGCCTTCACCACACTCTTGTCTGTGTCCGTGGGTTATGCATATATGCATATAAATTCTTTTCTTAATTTCTCCCACCCTTATTATTTTTAATCCTCACCTGAGGATATGTTTATTGATCTTAGAGAGAGAGGAAGGGGGAGAGAGAGAGAGAAAGAATCACCAATGTGAGAGAGAAACATCATTGGTTGCCTCCTGTGTGCACCCCGACTGGGGATTGAACCTGCGACCTGGGTATGTACCCTGACTGAGAATCAAACCCACACCACCTTTTAGTGTAGGGAACAATGCTCCAACCAACTGAGCCACCCGGCCGGGGCTTAAGAGATCTGATGGGGCCTGGTAGTTGAAGGCATGCAGGGAGCGAGAGCGGAGAGAGTCAAGGGTGAATTTTTGGGTTTCTGGCATTAGCACCTGTGTTGGATGGGTTCCCATTTTCCACATTGGGTAAGACTGGGAAAAGGAGTTGGGGAAGTGTGTGTACGTGGGGTTATTGTATGAGACTTGGATGTAGACATCCAGTGGGGAGTAGGCAACGTGGGTCTGGTTTTTGCCATCAAGAGAGAGAAGTGGGCTGGAGATACAGCCTTCTGGGTGCTTGGCCTATAGGTGATGGTGAAGGTAAGGAAGAGGGCAACTCAGCCCAGGGAGAGTGTGCAGAGTGAGACATCAAGAGGGCCCAGTTGAGAGACCTGCAGCAAACATTCATGTCTTCCACGGGGACTGCTTTGAATTAATTACTTATGGATTACTTAGATTCTGGTACGTCAATGATCAGATCATTAGCAACCACGTACAGCACTCACATGATTTTACTGGCTATTGTAGAACAGCCATGATTTACCACATTTATTTCTATTGATGAAAGCAACCCAACACGTAAATTCAAACATATGCCTAGCAGTATTGGTGGGCCTATTACAGGCTTCTTGTTGTCAACCAGTGTCATTCTAGCCTCATCCACCCCTGACTTAACCGTAACAGGACTCCTTCTGATAACTCTTGGCTTCTCTTATCAAGAACTAAATGGATGCCCTACAACTTAAGTCATCATTTGCAACCTGGCCTCCTGCATCACCACCATTGCTCATTCCAATTTAGATATTATGTTGAGAATTTGAGGCCAGCCTTTGAACTTTTGATGGTTTGCTTATAATTTATATAAAGTGTTATGTAAAACAGAAAAACCTTTCCTCAAATATGCATAGTTGTAAGTAAATAAGAAAATCTGGGCAAGAGCTTTTGGAAAAAGAATTAACTTCAATCTTTAAAAGACATGCTACTTTTTAAATGTCTTACTCCCCTCCATCGTGAACGTTTTAAATTTAGCTTCTGAGTTATCTGAACCCAAGAGGATGGAAGGATAGCTCTTTCTTGCATGTATAGGAAGTGTGATTTTTCAGTGCTTTAGAGAATGTCCCATGGGGCTTGCCAGAAATGTGTTATTTCACACAATTTCAGGAAACTTGTTCACCTAAAATGTTTCAGTTGGCAGGTATTTCAGAGCATGCCTACTGAAGAAGCGCCATTCTGGGCCGACGTGGTTCTGGGATTTCGAAAGATGACGGAGGCTGAGCTAAAGAAGTTCCCCCAACATGTGTTCGGTCAGGCGTTCACAACGCTGAAGTGTGAGGGCTCTGCCTACCTCCCGTGGTTGGAGAAGAGGTCAGTTAAACAGCTCTTTGCTGCTCCCTTCATCTGTCCTAGATGAAGAACTTCTTAGCTATTTGTAAAATACTGGAAATTGTCTGTGGTCCCTCAGAGCTCTTGCATCGTGTCTCGTTGCTCACAAATGGCCAGGGCTTTGTAAAGCAATTTGAAGACAGTGTTTGAGTCACAGGAGTGAGTCACACCATTTTGGTAGTAACATGTCCACCTTCTACGTCTAGTGTGCACCTCGATGCACAGTTTGGTCTCCACGCCACCCCCCACTACACACCAGTAAAACTACCTTTATTGAAATAGTATCTTAGTTTCCTTTTCTGTAAAATGGAGTTTGGAAAATGTGCATCCAGCTATAAAATTAGATGCTTTCTAGTTCTTTGAATGAGAGAACCCTATGATTATTATAAATTATTTTTGAATATTTTTCTCATTAGTGATAAAGAAAATAGCTTCATTATTTTCTTTTGTTAGAAAGAAGAACTCTAAAACTGAGGGCTTACCTGAATTACATAATTGTTTCCTCACCAAGATTAGCCCCAAATGCCTTGAACTTGCATTTTGGCTTGGTTTTCAGGCCTTCCTATTTCCAGTTAGTTAGGAAACACATAAAGGCCATCTTTACTTCAGACATGTAAAATGTCTCTCTCTACAGTTTAGCCTAGAAATTGCAAGCATGTTGGGGGTTGTGACACACGGTCCTTTTCATATTTGGTGGATGAATAGGAACATGTGAATTATTGTATAATGTTAGAAAAGTGACTGAAGGTAAGCAGGCAATAATGATTTGGTCCCAGATATAGGATATAGAATAATAGATTCAGATAATTCATTAATTCCACAATTCTTTGTTGTTCAAAAAGAAAGATAAAATATGATCACTTTTCTTAAGGAATTTAGTCTATTGGGGTGATGGTGTATATTTATGTATATATGTGGTTTTATATTTATTTATTAACTAACAATTACAGTAACACACATGGTGAGGCTTAAGTACAAATTTATGAGAGTTGAATGGGAGCACAGAGGGGGGAGCCTAAGTCCATTGAACACACCAGGAGCATCAGGAAATATTTTTACAGCTTTATAAATACTCTTCAAACTTTTACCTCTTAGCAATTTATATTGGTCATTTCACTTTCATAAGTTTCAGTTCATAAAACCCACATTTTTGTGCCTTGTTCACTGGTAAATGACTATTTGTATGTTAAATTTGTACCTGAATATATCAGTTAACAAATGCTTTGAACCATCACATGGTGGCGTTGCTCATAAGCCAACACTCACATTTTAGCATCACCATCTTCCCTGAGTGGCAGTCTTGTGTAGTGCTGCATTTTTGTCCTTCTGTTATAGAAATGAGTGGGAAAAATTGGAAGAGCTAGTGAGTGACACAAAGCTGCGGTATCATGTACTTAGTTCAGAGAGGGGAAGTTGCTAGGCCTGCCCAAAGTGGCAGAGCTTGACTGTCAATACGCTGCACAATTTTTTTATTATGATAAAAAACAAAGTGGAGGAACGTGTACAAAAGGTTGGGTATAAAAGGTGAGTTGTCCTTAAAGAGTTTTATAATTTTTGGCATTTTTAGTTCTCTTGAGCTGAAGTTTCATTACTACCCCCAAATTTACTCTTTGGCTTCCTCAACTTGGACTTTCGTCTCAATGTTCTGGAAAGTCTATAAAAACCTGGCTGGAGCTCTGTGGTCTCTGGCAGATTGGGAAGAAGTGGGTGAGAAGAAACCCCGGAGTGTTCCCATCACGGAGACTGTCGAGGGCTGGCCAAAGGCTTCTGTGCGTGGGGCTGGCCCGTGGGTGGGTCAGGGGTGGTCTCGGACACCGAGATAAGGGAAGCGGGTGAACTTTTCTAATTCCTTTATCCAGATTCCTAACATTTTGCTTTATCATCTTCTCGCTCTTTTCTCTACACATTTTTTTTTTCAGAACCACCAAAGAATAAGTTGCAGACATGATGCCCCGTTATTCCTAAATATTGCCATATGTATTTTCTAAGAACCAGGATATTCTCTTTCATTAATACAGTACCATGATAAAACCCAGGCATTTATATTGATACAATACTCTAATCATGTTGAAGGAAGGGCCCCAAGGACAACATTCCCCCTGTTTATGGGTCAGGCTGATTTGGTCCAGCAGAGGGCTGGCTTTTAGACTTGGTGAAAATGCCAAGGTTTTTAGGGTGATGGTCAGTGGGTTGGGGTTATTAGTGAGCACAGCTTCTTCAGTACTCCCACCCCCCATTTCCTCATGGGTAGTTGGGGCAATGGTATTCTCCCTGTCCAGGGTGAGGTCTTGCTCAGTTGCAGGAAGCCCCAAGAACAAAGTCACCAGGCTTCTTACACCCCCAACCATGTCTCTCAAAACCTCCAGAATAACTACTTCGTATGGTCATAAAGGCAGCCTTGTAGGTGCCTGGTCACCTAATTTAACATCCAGCTTCCAGGTACAGTTTCCTCTTGCATTTCTATGCCATCTTAATGCATTGGCCATGGGCTATACAATTATGACTCAGTATCACCATGTAGTCACATTGCAACCGCACAAAGATGACTGGTTCCTGGGCACCAGAAGTTTCCTCCTGGGGTATAAGGCCTGGGAGGGACCCAGAACAGCAAGCCTGACAGGGCTTTCCAACAGCCTGCCCACTATGATAATTTAAGGAGTTTCCAGGTGAAGGGTGGACTTTCATCAGAGCTCAACCAGCAAGGTACCCTTGAAATGGAACAGAAGGACATTTACATTTATTGAATTCTTACATAATTGTCATAAAAATCCCTGTGAGCTCAGCACTCTTGTCCCTAGGTTATAGCTGAGCAAACAAGTTCAGTGAGTTTAAGTAATTTGCTCAAATTCCAAGGCTGGTAAATTCTCTTATTTTGCTGAATTAGGAGAATAATTCTGAGTTCTAATTGGGATGGATGGGACACAGAACATAATGTTTAAATATTAGCCCGCTCATGCTAACATCCTTGTGGTAGACATAAGGCCGGTGTGTGTGTGTTGGGGGACCAGGGAAAGAGGGGCATGTCACCCCTGTCCCAACCATCTAGGTAGGTAGACCAGCCTAGTACAAAGGAACATGCAAGAGTTAACAATATGAGACAAAACATCCAAGATAGTTAATTTAGGTGCTAAATAAAAGACATAAACAGGAAATACTTGGGTATTTAAAATATCGGATTAACTTGGTATTTATTTGGCATCTAGAATGATATGGAAACTCTACTAAACATAAAAGGGACAAAAGTAGGGTGGACCAAAAGTAGGTTTACAAGTACGAAAAACACAGTTTATTATTATTTTTAAAAATTTATCTTTATTGTTGAAAGTATTACAAATGTACCCCTTTTTCCCCATTGACCCCTTTTACCCAGTCCTGCTCCAGACCTTCCCCACACTATTGTCTGTGTCCATGGGTTGTGCATATATGCATATAAATTCTTTGGTTCTTGTATTATTATTTATTAATTATTGTGGTGTTTTCCCTACGAATAGTTGTAAACCTACTTTTGCCCCACCCTGTATATAATGTCTCTGGCTTTGAATTTTTGAAATAGGTTTTTATTTAGGTTCAACTTTCGGAATTCCTAGTTTCCAAGGATGTGAAGCAATCAGTGGCTAGAATTTGGCCTGCTTGGGCCCTGCAAGCTCTTGAGGTGTTTGTTTCCACGTGTCTGCCCATCACTTCCCGTACGGGTTTGAGCAGGAAGCTGCTAAGGCTCACCTCCTGGTCTCTTGCTCTCCCCAGGGTAAAAGAAAGTGGGGGCGTGTTACTCACCCGGCGAATAGAAGACCTGTGGGAGCTTCACCTGTCCTTCGACATTGTGGTCAACTGTTCAGGCCTTGGAAGCAGACAGCTTGTGGGAGACTTGAATATTTTCCCAGTGAGGGGCCAACTACTCAAAGTTCAGGCTCCTTGGGTAAAACATTTTATCCGAGATGGGAGTGGGCTGACATATATTTACCCTGGTGCATCCAACGTAATCCTGGGTGGAAGTAGGCAAAAGGGAGACTGGAATCTGACCCCAGATGCAGAAATTAGCAAAGATATTCTTTCCCGATGCTGTGCTCTGGAGCCCTCCCTCCATGGAGCCCGGGACATAAAGGAGACAGTGGGCTTGAGGCCCTACAGGGCAGGCGTTCGGCTGCAGAAAGAGCTCCTAGCCCGGGATGACCAGAGGCTGCCTGTGGTCCACCACTATGGCCACGGGAGCGGGGGCTTCTCTATGCACTGGGGTACTGCTCTGGAGGCCACCAGACTGGTGAGTGAGTGTGTTCAAGCCCTCAGGACCACTGCTCCCAAGTCACAGATGTAAGTGACATGAAATGACAGCAAATGGCACAGGAAACTATTGATCAAAATATAATTTCAAAATTAGAAATAACACAGTGTGTATGAGTAGATTTAAAACTAGTACTAATTTACTCTAGTGCTAATCTGGTACTAGATTTACATCTATTTCTAATCACATGGGACATAAAGCTCTATTTTCATTAAAAATAAAGATTTTGATTAAAAAAGATTACTATTAGATCTAGCATCCAAAAATCTTTGCTAATTTACATGGATGCTGGAAGCTGTAGGGATTTTGACATTTTTGGCTCATAAATCCACAAGAGGAGATATAATGTATGGAAACCACTGAACTCACTGTCAGTTGCAGAGCTGCCCATGATACTCACAGATTGTAGTCAAATGAGCATTATAATCCTTGTAAGTAAAATTACATGGTTAGCCTGACCGGTATGGCTCAGTGGTTGAGCTCGTTGGTTTTCCAGGTCAGGGCACATGCCCAGATTGTGAGCTTGATCCCCAGTAGGGAGGGTGCAGGAGGCAGCCGGTGGATATTTCTCTCTCATCGATATTTCTCTCTCTCCCGCTCTCTCCTTCTCTCTCTCAAATCAATAAAAATATATTTAAAAAATATTACATGGTTATCACACAATACAAGTTTATTACATTAAATGTAATAAAGCATGACCCCTGCTAGGAGAATTCCTGGTAGAAGACACCAATGAAGTTACTATGGACGTGGCATCAACTCAATAGCTGTCTGGGGTCAGTCCCCTAAGGGTCATACTTTGCATTACCACAGGCAATTGAGAGCTGGCTTGTTGTACGGTTGACTGAGGCTAAGCATTTTTGAAGATTGAATAGCATGTGTAGTGAAAGAACTAATTTGCTAATTAAGATGGAACAATCATTCTGAATGAAATATAACCAGAGTGTTATGCAAATTGTTAAAAAGTGCTGGGGAGGAGAGGGATGTGCCTCATGATAATATGAGTTTGGGAATTGCTGAATTTAATATATCTAACTAGTTTCTTGACATGGGCCTACCCAGACCCTTTAATCCATTCATGTGTACTGTGAATCCTCAGGAAGGTTTTGGTTTGAGTAAATGGTAAAGGAGGTGCTATTCATTGAGATAAGAAAGCTTGGGAGAAACAAGTAATTTTAATTTTAATTTGGGGGCTGAGATGGCATATGTTTAGAGATGAATTATATTTTGAATATTTTGAGGGAGATGTGGGGTTGGCAGTGAGAATGTGGGAAAGCCCCTAGGACAGCTTTATTTTTACTGTTTTGTTCATTGAGATTTTGCATCTGATTTTGTTTGAGGAGAAAATTCTGTGGGGGGAGAGAAAGAAGATGTGTGTGTGTGTTTGGGGGGGATGGGTTGTGGGGAGAGAAAAAAACATTCAAGTGTGGGTTCGTTTCTATAGATTTCCACCAGGGGGTGGTATTGTATTAAATTCAGATAAATTGGTAAATTTGAAAATTTAGAAATGACTAGAAATAAAAAATGGATACCAGGTGTGTTGAGTGAATATGTGATTCTTTTGAGTTTATATGCCCCAAATTCCTATTGTCCTGAATTCTGTGTAAAGTGTTTGATAAATGTACAAGTTTTGACTGAAAACACACAGACACACACACTCATTACAGGAAATTTGTAAGAAATAATATGTTATGATAAAATGGCATTTCAAAGAAGGGGAAATAAATTTTTTAATGGTAGAAAATGAAAATGAAGAATGCTGTTCATTTCAGTCAGGTAGTCTTCCAGCCGTTTTCACGGTGGTTTGAAGTGTTTTGAATTTGTTGCTTGTGCCCCCGGTTTTGGTCCCGCTGCATTTTCATGTTGTGTAGGCAGGCTCACACTCTATGACACTGCTGCCCATTTGCTACTCTCTGACTTTAGTTTCACTCTGCATCTAGTGTTTCTAATGCCCAACATCACAAGACTGACAGATTGGCGTCTTCCTGAGAAAGTGGTGGTGACTGCCCTGTTTCATTTTCACTAATGTCTAAATATTTGCTCCCAGTGTCTCTCAGAGATTTTGGTCAGTAGCTGCCAACCTGGGCTGCACATTAGAATCACCTGGGAAGTTTTGGGAAATATTGCTCCCCAGCTCTGCTCTATTAAATTAGAATCTTTGGAGGTGGGGAGGGGCCGTGATATCAGTATTTGTCTAAAAGTGCCCACGGGGTTCCAAACGACAGCCAGGGCTGGGGATCACTGCGCACTGGTCCCCGTTTCCTCCCGGGACTCCACGGCTACCATAACCTCCAGCCTTCCCCTCCTTTCTTGCCTTCTTGGGACATCGCCTTGGAGATGTGCTCACATAAGCAGGCATGTCCTTAGGCACTTCTGGTCAAGGCGGCCAGTAGGAACTAGCTGTCTCCCAAAGTGGGGCTCTGGAAATGCTGGGGACCACCTTGCTGACTGCAGGTCAGCTGCCTGCAGATGGCTATCTGTCTTTGTCTGAGAGAGGAGATGACATACAAATGGGTGATGGCCGGACCATATGTAAAAACAACGCTCACCCACAGCTTGGAGCAGCCTGTCCAGTAAACCAAACCCTTATAACAGCCAGCCCCGGGAATCAGCCCGCTATAGGTCAGATTTGCAGGAAGCCAAGTTGCTATCTCTAGTCACAATTCAGAATGCCAAACAATCATTTCTGAAACAATTGGCCCCAAATGGCCAGGGGCTGGATCAATCACTGACAGGTCCCCTAATTTTTGTCTCATTTCTAACGTAGGACCAACCAGAGAAAGCTCAATATGTTCTCCTAACTATCATACAGGACACACTGCGTCTAGTTGGCACCTACAGCTGTCCCAGGATGACAGCCTCCGTTCAGGGCACGCCTGGAGTCCCCTCATTTACCACTACAAAGTTTCCAACTCTGTCTGCCTCGGAATGATGGTGACTGCTCTTGCTATAGAAAGTTCTGAATATAGTCTTTGCTTTTCTCATTTGGCTGGCCTTTTTTTTTTTAAAATTTCCATAAAGATTTCCTGTCTAAGTTGAAGTCTTTGGTGATCTGTGCTAAGGCCTGAGAACGGACTACTTCGCTGCGTTTTTTCCCGTTTTCTATTACAGACTATTAAAAACATTTTTTGTTTGTTTGAACAGGGAGAACAACTGATTTCTTCCTTAAATCCCTGTGTTTGTGGCTGAGAGACCTGCTGCTCCTGTGACCCAGAGCGATATGGCAGCTTCGAGGGCACCGGTGTTGCAGGCACCGGGCTTCTTCAGCAGACAGAGATTATGTACATACTTTGAGGATTTATTCACTTAGGAAGAAAAGAACTTGAACAGAAAGGCCATAGCTCAGTAGGACATGATAGGAGAAAGGCTATTTTTTAAAATGATATATATTGTAGTCTTTCTTTTATTGAATGGATCTGTTCAAACCAGTTGCTACTAGAACCAATTTTTCTCAACCCATTAAGAGCTTTTAGAGAAAAAGAAAAAGAAAAAAAAATGATGGTGGGACCTGTGCCCACTGGGAGTTGTAGTTCTGGGAAACCTGTTCCAGGACTCTCAAGAATGTCAGGTATTTGAAATGAACGTAACATTTCATTTTTTTTTTCCCTCCATAGCATAGCAATTTCTCTTGATTCCTCTTATCTTTCTTCTGGGGGTTGTGAATGATGGAGACACGTTAGAAACCTGTTTCCTCTGGGTATCATTCACTCAGGGAAAGCCGATTGAGATGTTCAAGTGGCCCCTTTCTTCTTGAAAAATCTCAGCAGTCTGCCATGAGGCCTGGGGGCTTTATTATCCCCAGTGGCTTTGCCGCCTATAAATCACAGCCCTAAGCAGCCAAAGGAAATGAGTTAACCAGATCCCTGAAAAAAATGTAACCAATGTTTCTTCAATTATTAGCAGAACAACTGACTTCCATCTGCTCAGGGCACCTGCCTGCCTGGCCTGCAGCCACATTACCCACAATTCCACTGCCCATAGCCCGTTTCCCTTGAGCTGGAATTTTACCCTGGTGCATGTTCTATGATATTAGCCCAAGCCAAAACTTTTAATGCATTCTAGTATTTCCCTTCCATACAGACCCAAGTTGTCTGGCAATGGATAGGGACTGTGGTGAATCGTAGGCCATACAGTTCGCCTATTCTGCACAGGTCCCCTTTCCGGGAAACCTGCTTAGTCCTGAAAATTCACTACCTGGTATCTCCTGTCCTCTGCTTCTTGGCCATAGTTTCTTGGATCATAGGCAACTATCAGGTTTAAGTTCAGTTTCAAGTAACAGAAACACCCCCCAATAGTTGCTTAAAGGAAATGGGCATGTATTTCTCTCTCACATAAAAGAAGCTTGGGTGCAGGCAGTCCAGGACAGGTGTCAGGACTTCATCAGGTGGTTCCTGCTCACATTCTACTATCTCAAGCATGTGGCTCTTGTGCTCATGGCTCCAAGATGTCAGTGGGAGCTCCAGCCATCACATCATCACATGCACCCCCAAGGAAACTTCCCAGGAGACTATCTCATTGCACGGTATTTAGCCTCAGGGCTACACCGAGATTTAAGGGAAGCTGGGAATGTAGTCTATTGGCTTGTTGACAATGGAAAGTTCAAGGTTTGAGCAGACTCTACTAGAAGTATCAAATTATAAATTGGGTTGAGTCAGATTCTTTTTTTTAATATATATATTTATTGATTTCAGAGAGAGGAAGGGAGAGGGAGAGAGAGAGCTAGAAACACCAATGATGAGAGAAAATCATTGATTGGCTGTCTCCTGTATGACCCCCGCTGGAGATCAAGACCACAACCCAGGAATGTGCCGAACTGTGATCTCTTGGATCATAGGTCAATGCTCAACCGCTGAGCCATGCCAGCTGGGCGAGTCAGTCAGATTCTTAAGAATTTGTACTAAGGGACTCTGTTTCCTAGTATTGGCAGGCTCTGGAGAACATGAAAACTTGGGAGGGCAGTCCATTTTGTTCAGGTTTATGCAGAGGAATTCCAGCAAGAAAGAAAGCAGAAGAAAGCAGAGAATTCTAGTCCC